CAGTCCGAGGCGAGATGAGAAGAAGAGGGGAGGAGGAGGAGGAGGAGGAGGAGGAGGAGGAGGAGGAGGAGAAAGAGCTGCAGCATCAGGGACGAGGAAGAAGAAGAGGAGAATGCGGACGAAGAGGAGGAGGCGATGGGCGCTCGTTCCAGAGGCCGTTGCACTGACATGACTGACGTGTGTACGCCCGCTGATGTTCATGTGCCGACGGCCATTTGCCGTTACGCAGGTAGCAATGTTCATGGCGTTGGGTTTTGTTGCCGAGCGGGTGCATGTGCTTGCTTGCACGTGTTTGTCTATTCCTGGTTCGCACTTGCTTCTTCAGCGTTTCTTGGGGGGGGCAAGAGGGCACTACAGTGGGCCGGAGGAAGAGGAGGAGGGGGCGAGAAGAAGGATGGGAGCAGGTGGAAGGGAATCAAGGAGGAGCGACCCTGAGATCCGACGTCGTGAAGCAGGTGGGTGCAGCACCGCGGAGAAGTAGGAGTTGGAGCCCTCGGCCACGTCTCTCTACTGCCCTCTGGCGGTTGGACCGCTCCGTGCAGGCCCTAGGGTCGCACGCTGGGTTCAGACGCCCAGTGCGAAGAAGTTTGCCACGCCCGGATCTCCTCCTCCTCCTCCTCCTCGTCCTCCTCGTCCTCGTCTTTCCTCCTCCTCCTCCTCCTCCTCGTCCTCTCCTCCTCCTCCTCCCTCCTCCCTCCTCCCTCCTCCTCCTCCTTCTCCTCCTCCTCGTCCTCTCCTCCTCCTCCCTCCTCCCTCCCTCTCCCCCTCCCTCTCCCTCCTCTCCTCCCTCCTCTCCTCCTACCTCCTCCTCCCTTCCTCCTACTCCTCCTCCTCCCTAAGCTCTCCTCCTCCTCCTCCTCCTCCTCCGGGTAGGAAATGCGGGGAGCATGGGGGCAAGCAAGAGATGCAGGGGCAACGATAGGGGGGGATAGGCATGGGGGGGTGCATCGACCCAGAATCGCCCGTTGATCGCCGAGAGGGGCCCGATAGCCCCACCCCGCCCTGGAAGGTGCGGATTCCTTATCGGGACCCTATCGCCGATCTATCGGCGCGATGTATCGCCGATTCCAGGCCGATGCATCCCCCCCCATGCCAGTCCCCCCCCCTGTCGTTGCCCCCCAGAGATGGACTCGCCAAAAGGTTTGCGGAGCAGCAAGATTTTGACGGCACCGACGAGGAGTGGGCCGAAGCCTACAAGGAGCTCTGCACCGAGAAGGGCCGAGATCCCGCTCAGGGTGTCAACCTCGAGCTCTTCACGCAGCTGCTGAACGACGAGTCGGAGGAGGGCGCTTTGGGTAGGTGGATCCCAAGCTCTCCGCCGCCTCTGGCGGTGCGCGTTGCGAGCAGGAGCACAGCAGAGCCACAGGAAAGAGCGGTATTGACAGCGTAGCTCCGCACGCGTGACAGAGGTTGACGAGCAGGAGCCCAGCAAAGCCCCCAGGAGAGCGAGGCACTGCCCGCAATTGCTGCGTGGGGAATCTTGGTGGGACGGAGCGCGGTCCCTCAGATCCGGGCGCCGCAGTCTGTCACACGGGGTGTTTCCGCCCAGCTCTGGGCCCGGCGACCCTCACAGATCGATCCGATTTGGATCGGGGGCGGAAAAGAGGGGGGTGATGACTAGGGGGGGGATATCATGGCGTGGGCCAGGATACTTCCCTAGATCTCATGGCGCCTCCTCTTATTTCATTACGTCCCTGGCCCCCCCGCTGGGCCGCGCACATGCCGCCGGTCATGATTTGCACCCCCCTCTTGGACACCCCCCTCTTGGCCGCTCCCGATTGGAAGGAGGCAGCGGGAGAAGGGGCTCCAGGGCTCCAGTCGTGATTTTCCGAAATTCTGACTTCTTGCAGGACGCGTCGCTCGATGGAAAAAAGTGGGAGTATGACAGATCTAGATCTACATAATGAAAATCAGTTCAAGATACAAAAGGCCTGGAGGGCCCGGCACAGGTCAGAGAAGCTTGCGCGGACTTCCAGCAGAAGCGTATGCCTGCACAGTCTGTTGCTCCCTCCAGTCGCGCTGTAGGCCGCACACGGGAAAGCCTTCCAGCCTGGCGTTGGCGGTGGAGGGTTTCTCCGAAGGGCTTAGGCGACCCCTCCTCCTCCTCCTCCTCCTCCTCCTCCTCCTCCTCCTCCTCCTCCTCCTCCTCCTCCTCCTCCTCCTCCCCCTCCTCCGCCTCCTCCTCCTGCTCCTCCTCCTCCTCCGCTCCTTGCTCCTGCTCCTCCGCCTCCTCTCCTCCTCCTCCTCCTCCTTCCTTCCTCCTCCTCCTCCTTCCCCTTTCTCCCTCCTCCTCCCCCCTCTCCTCCTCCTCCGCTCCCTCCTCATCCTCCTCCTCCTCCTCCTCATCCTCCTCCTCGTCCTCTCCTACCCTCCTCCTCCTCTCCATCGGTCATATTATTTCTCCTCGTCTCATCATGCGACTCATCCTCATCCCTGCTCCTGATCCTCCTCGCATCATCATCCTCCTTCCTCCCTCCTCCTCTCCCTCTCCTCCTCCTCT